ATTTTACTGGTTTTACCTTTCTTTTTTCTGACCATCAGTCTGTCAAGGCTATCGAGATTTACATTTAAATGTAAAACTGGACTGTCCACCAAATAGCCTTTGAAGCTATTAGCTGTGAAAGATAATCAATTGGGAATGGGCCCCTGCAGAGCACTTTTCAAGCAGAGTCATCACCAAAAAGCAATTTTGCTGGCAGGCTTTTTTTTTTTTTTAAAGGAAAAAAATCATGAGCATCCCCAGCCAATTAAAGTTCTATCAATGGCCGATCTGCATGATTTTACAACAAAAGCAAAATTTAACATTTGTTAAGGCAAAGTGATTCACAGGATGAATCCTGCACTTTTTAGGCAGAACTGAGCAGCAAGGATTGGCAAGTTTTTAATAATGCCCCAGCAATTCAATGTACTTTGAGAGCCAGAAGGATCCAACGTGCCCAGAGACAAGGAAAAGTGCTGCTATTTAAGGTAATAAGTCTTACATCAGCCTTGTAAAAATTTAAACCCGAGGTACATTTTTATCACCTCTTTAGCTTTACAACTCTAACATGGCATCTCACATTGCTGCTCTGTTAAAACTGTGTCACCATTTGTAGTCCCTTCCCTTTATTAGAATAAAATAGCATGTTTCACAAAGAACTTTAATCTATTAATTATGACTGCCATGCATTATGCAGCTGAGCTTTATGCATTCCTGTTCTTTCAGATTTTCCTCTGGGCCATCAGGAGATGTGACTATCTCCAGGATCTATCTGGGAATTTGCATCTGGCTCATCACTGAGGTATCCAAGTTATTCCCATCCTCACCATATCCTTCTGAGGCACCTTCTGCAGGTGGAGAGTCCAGCAGCACAGCTCCAGTGCAGGAATGATAGCTGATGTACTGACATTGCTGATAGAATCATGAATTACGGCCAATAATTAATTGTGGCAGGAAGTGCAGCCACTCTTCGGGAGGAGGAAGCTGAGAGCTGTGCTAGGAAAAGGTGTGGGGCGGATTTTTTCTTTCAGTCTGACATGGAGAAAGTGCAAATACAACCACCAGGCAGAGGAGGTGAGGGCTCAGGGCTGGCCTTGCTCTGCCTCTGCTGGCCCAGGGCTTGGGGAGCAAAGTGATGGAAAATTGTCTGACAGCTCAGAGCACCAGGGACCAGGGCCAGCCTTGACTTCAAACCCTGCCAGTACAGACAGCACAAAGATTTATCAGCTTTCCTTCACTTTGGAGGACATCAATGGGAAACTCAAGCTGAAAACGCTGGAGGTTTCTCCAAGGCTTTTTTAGGAGTCTCACATCAGGTTGGATAAACTGGAAGACATTGATAACAGGTTGTTTCACCCAGCAGCACAAGAAGGCAGAAATGCATCCTTGTGTCTTTAAAATAAAACCAAATCAAAAGACAACAACCAAATAAAAATACCTTAAAGCACTCTGCAGGCCCTCCGTTAATTATTTCCCAGATCATGTTCAACTTTTACCTACAAAATGCAGCCACTCTCACCAACCAAGAGCTTTCACTTTCAGAATTAAAGGTAAGTTTACACAAGGTCTGAATCGAGGAACTTGAACACCTCTGTCACAGCTGAATCTGCAGTCAATGACAATTCCTGGATTTGGAGAGGCAAACACAGCTCCTGAGGCTTCTGGAACAAACTGGCTGATCCCACAGGTACAGAATTCAGTGGTCCCATGGACACAGCTTGTAAAAAATCCACCTCTGCTTTGCCATGGCCGTTTTTCCTTCCCTACAACATTGTGAAGCCTCTAAAGACAGCCCTGTAACCAAATACTGGATGTTTTATGAGTCCTTCTCCATGTCCAGCCACTGGAATAAAGACAAAGGCAGAACTGGATACCTGAGAGACAGAGAAAAGAAAGCTTTTCCTGCCACAGACTTTTAATTCACGCTGATACCTGAGACATCATTTCCTCGGGTCACTATAGAAACCTTTATCACCTCATGAAAGGTCATTGGGGAAGTGACAGGAGACATCAGTTTCTTGTAACAATATTGGTTTCTCTTCTTAAAATTTAAATAACAAGGCTAAAGATTTTCCAACTGGAGATGTAAAAAGCCATTAGAGTAGCCAGTCAATATTCCTGAAATTATAGGATAGAGGTCTTGCATTGAGGACACAGAAAATATTTTTGCAGTCACCAGAATAGCACAGTGCAAAAAGCATGACTGATTATGTTTTGACTTCAAACACAAATAAAGAATCAGAAATACAGAATAAAATAAAGGTATCTAAATTAAAAAAAAAAAAAACAAAAAAACAAAACAAGCTTTCTCCTGCTCTTTGTATTGTAGAGAAAATATTTTGGCATGTCTCTGACATTTTAAACCCCACAACAGAAGGTATTTTCCAGTGCCATCAGATGACAGCAGTAATAAAGAGCTCATTCCCAAAATGATTGGGAAATATTTTGATTACAATTTTTCAATTGCAAGCCCCACGTGTACTCAATTCAAGTTTGGTTTTCCCCAGTTCCCAACAGATCCAGCTTTGGGCCCTGTTCTGCTGCTTTTAGGCTTCATCTGAGGTGGGGAATTGGTCCCATCCCCTCACCCAGGAGCGCTTTCTGGGCATATCCAGGAATCCACCAGTGCATGGGACACCTGAGGCTGCTTTGGAGCATGGGACACCCATTTTGATGCAAATAACAGTTAAAGTTTTTTTTTTTTTGTTATCAAAACCACCTAAAAGATCCAGCACCAGTGATAAGGTTTAATCAGTTCAAACCCCACTGGGGACATTGAGCTAGGGCTCAGTCAGAACCAGCCTCCCCAAAACACACTTAAAGGGGTCCAAACAATTTTTCTTCAGCTTTTTTCCTGTTGTGTTCCTGCCTCACAAAAGCACAGCAGAAAAGCACATTTCAGCAGGTCTGCTGGAGGATCAGCTGTGTGGAGCTGAGTCTGGCTTTAAAAAGCAGTGTCAGGAACAGCAGCAAACCCCAAAGGGCTGGGAAGGCCCAAAAGCTGGGGTTGCTTTATTGGAAATGCACACAGGTTTTGCACCTCTGCCTGCCCAGTTTAACCTCAGATCTCTGAGCAGGCAGGAGTTCATCCCCAGACAGGAGGGAGGCTGTGACACACCAAAAACTCACACCTGGGAGCCCACGGGCAACCTGGGAAAAACCTGAGCAGAGAGCAGAGCCTGCCAGGGCTGTGCTGGCTGGGATATCCACATTTACACCTCCCTCTAAGGGAGCCAGGGCTGTTCTGGGGTGGGATATCCACATTTATACCTCCCTCTGAGGGAGCCAGGGCTGTTCTGGGGTGGGATATCCAGATTCTCCCTTCCCTTTAGGAACCAGGGCTGTTCTGGGGTGGGATATCCAGATTCTCCCTTCCCTTTAGGAACCAGGGCTGTGCTGGGGTGGGATATCCACATTTTCCCTTCCCTTTAGGAACCAGGGCTGTTCTGGGGTGGGATATCCAGATTGTCCCTTCCCTTTAGGAACCAGGGCTGTGCTGGGTGGGATATCCAGATTTTCCCTTTCCTCTGGAGCCAGGGCTGTGCTGGGTGAGCAGCACTGAACACTGAGCTCTGCTCCTGGGCCCAGCACTTACCAGGGGAGCTTGGGGATCTCCAGGCAGCAGGAACAAAAATCCATCCCAATATTTGGGAAAGAGCCAGCCTGCTCCAGAGCTCTGAGGTCATGGCAGAACTCTGGAGAGGGAGGGATAGGATTTATTTACCATGTGCTCAGAAGCAGGAGAGCTCTACAGGAGACACTTGTTCTGAATTACCAGGCTCCCTCCTGGGATGGTTCTGCTGATAACATGAAGAATGTATTAAGTGAACATCAGAGATTAAAACAATCTGCTCCTGCCAGCTCCAAACCACACGGACCATTACTGTCACTCACACACAGAAATCAAGCCAGAATATTGGAAGGGAAAATTGAAAAGAAATTGCCCCCGTGTCAGCCTCGGTTCTCAGCTGGTTTTTCTCAGGGTGGAGGAAGAAGCCTCTAGATGGTTCACATGATGCAATCAGCCACACCAGGCTGGAGCAGCAGCACTAAGCTCTGCCTATTCACTCACACCATTTCCTTATCTTTCCTGTTTATCTCTGAGGCCCAGTACCAAGGTGAGTCTCTACAATATGACAGATCTACTGGTTTCCTACTTGAGAAGGTTCTCGAGGCTTCCTGAGCAGCTGCAGTGCAGATAACAGAGCTGTGGCATCTTCAGGGTGGCTCTGGACTGGAGGGGACGCTCCTGGCCAAGGGAAGCACAGCTGAACTGCCCTGTGAGCCAGCAGCTTTGCCAAAATCCCTCGGGTTTTAGCATTCCTGTAGTGCCCACCTTGTACAGATGGGAACTATGAACAGGGTGAAATTCGTTAACAGGGAGCAAAATATTATCAATTTGACATGAATTGTGAGGTTAATTCTTGCAGAAAACTTTGGACATTTATTTTTATCTGCAGCTTTTTCTCTTAAGTGAGATTTTCACAGCTGAGCTTTTGGTAACGTCTTAAAAAGCCGAATTGTGAATGGTTTTTACAGGGAAGCGTTAAAGAGGAAATATCATCCAGGAGCCAGAGCACACTCCAGAGCTTCCCTGGGCCTCTGGCACCACCTATGGATGACAGGGAACACTGGGAGCAGAGGAAAGCCTGCCTGCAGAGTTCACCTCCACCACCAAGGATGGGCAAATTCACTGCTTTCAGTCTGTGCTACCTTTGCACGGGCAATTGCATAGTTCAAAATACAGCCTGGGATTCTTTCATTAGAGAAATGTCCATAGTAAATAGAATTAATGAATAAGAAATAATAATTAATTATTCATTAATAATATTTACTCCACAAACTGATTAATTTATTTAATTATATCAAGAATTTAATTAATAAATTATAGTTAATAAATTAATAGATATTGTATATATTATTTAAATATGATAATAAATTTCCATCTCCTTGTGATCCAACCCGAATTTCTGCTGAAGTGAAAAACCTTGGATTAGAAGATTTAAAAAAAAATTTAAATGAAATTCAGTATTTTCCTTTAATGTGAAAAGAAGACCCAAACTGTAACACACCTTTACCTTTACCCAAACTGTAACAGACCTTTACCTTTACCCAAACTGTAACACACCTTTAGGCAGCATCAAAATAAAAACAAAAGGTAAGTAGTGTTTGTAAAAAATATATTTCCAGTTGTTTTTCTCTTTAACCCACAGGCACTCTGACAGCCATCACCACGCCAGAGAGGATTTGTGTTGCTGCTAACAGAGTTAGTTACTACTGAGAGAGGAACAACATTCCTTTAGTTTCTGAAAACAGTCCCCTGCTCTCTGCACCAGCATTTCAAGTGCCAGGGGCTTCTGATTTCTACAGATACTGAGGAGCAGCCCCTCAGACTTCACCTGGGCTGGAGCAGAGCCAGCAGTGGGGCTCCTCAGAGCCCCGCCAGGAGCACTGAATGCACACAGAGCACAGAACTGAGAGACCTCAGTCCAGCAAACTCCACAAGGGCTCAGGTTATCGTCTCTTTGTGTGTGCATCAAACAACAAGGCTGCTGTGGAGGTAATTCAGCACAAGGGGAGGATTTCTTCTTCAGGTAGCACAGTACAGGAGCCATACTCGGGGTGTCACTGCTTGGGGACACTGGCAACAGCTGCTTCCCAAGGAGCAGGGCCTCTGACTGCAGCAGAGGCACAGAAATACAAACACACCCTCCTCCTCCTCACACACGAGATGCTTGTGTACAGACAAACACAGCGTGGAGGCTCTGGAGGACAAATCCTGTGTTCAGTCGTGTGCTGTGCATTCCTGCAGGCTCAGCACTGTGCCCAGAGCAGCCCCTGTGCCCAGAGCAGCCCCTAATCGGGGATGGAGTCTGCAGGACACAGCAGGGCCGTGTGAGCCCCGCTCTGGATGATGGAGTAGCTCTGCTTGGGGCCCTCAGTGTGGGATGAGGACGAGAAGATGGGGGGAGGAGGAGCAGCCGTGGACACGGTGATGCTCTGCCCACCATCACTGACCACGGTCACCTCGGTGGCCCCGTCCTGGATGAGGGCGTTGAGCCCCTCCAGGTCGGAGCAGCTGATGCCGGAGCCGGCGATGAAGGCCTGGCCGGCGGGGGGCTCGTGGCCGGGGGCGGCCGCGGGGAGCAGGGCCTGGTGCAGGGCGCCGGCCTCGCCCTGCTCGTGGGTGGTGAGCAGCACGGCCGGCTCTGCCCCCGGGCCCGCGTCCCCCGCGCTCCCCGCGGCCGGGGCCAGCACGCTGACCTGGCCCAGCAGCTGCAGGCGGCCGCCGCCCAGCACCTCCTCCTGGGCCGCGCCCAGCAGCCCCGGCGGCACCACGTTCACTGAGGCCGCCTGCACGATGCTGTTGGCCTGAGGAGGCACCTGGTGGCCCACGATGATCTTGACTCTGCCCTCGTTGTACGGGGCCACCTGAGCGGCCTGAAGCGGCACCTGGAGGTGGCTGACGGTGATGGGGGCGCCGGGCTGGCGGCCGGGATCCATCTGGAGCTGCAGCACGGCCAGCTCGCTGTTCTTGGAGCCGTTGTACAGGCTGTGCTGCTTCTTGTGGCTGCGCAGGGAGTCCTCCCGCACGAAGGACGCCTCGCACAGGTCGCACTTAAAGGCCTTCTTGGCGTCCAGCTTGGCGACCTGCCTGGAGCCGCCCTGCTTCGGCCTCTCTCCTTCCTTCTTGTCCGGAGAGCGCTTGCCGCCCTTGGCCCTGTCGCCGTGGGCCTTGCGGACGTGGGTGGTGAGGTTGCTGCGCTGCTTGGTGTCGAAGCTGCACAGGTCGCACTTGAAGGGCCGTTCCTTGCCGTGGATGCGCTCGTGCACCTTGAGGGCCGCCTTGGAGGAGCACGAGTAGCTGCACTCGGAGCACTTGACGGGCTGCTCGGGCTGGTGGCTGCGGATGTGGTGCCGCAGGCTGGTCTTGTTGCCGCACTGGAAGTCGCACTCGGGGCACTTGAGGGTGTTCTCCGTGCTGTGCTTGATGCGCATGTGGGATTTCAGGTTGCCCTTCATGGCGCAGCGCACCTCGCAGAACTCGCACTTGTAGGGCTTCTCCCCCGAGTGCACCCGCAGGTGCCGCTTCAGGTCCGAGTTGATCTTGAACTTGGCGGGGCACAGCTGGCACTGGAAAGGGGCATCTCCTGCCAACAGAAAGCAGGGATCACACAGGGGTTACATCCCAGGAGCCACTGCTGGGATGGAGCCCCAACAGCTGCCTTGTCCTGAACTCCCAACATGTTCTCAAAGTCAAGAGAAATTTTGTGACACAGGATTATCACCTGGTTTGACACACTCAGATCTAAACCCGTTATTTTGCATTTTCTGTATCTGCAGGCTGGTGTCACAATATCCATGACCACGTTAAGGTGGAGCTCTGCTAATCCCTAATCAATTCCAGTGAGGCTGTTCTAAAGCCATTAAAAAAGAATCCAAAGCAAACTTAGCAACCTAACTAAATAACTACTCCCTTTTCTTTCTTAAATATAAAAATACAGTTCTCCGAATTTTTCACCCAAGGATGAAGTCCTTAGGTAGGCATTATTTTGAACAAGTGGAAGAATTGTGTTTTTAGGTTCTAAGACACTCTTGATGAAAGGAGGAAAAAGAAAGTGTATTTAGTTCAAGAAGCATTTATCCTCTTTAATAATCAAACTGCAAATGGCTGATTTATTTTAGAAGTTAATATTTTATAGAGTTTGTGAGAGCTGTATAATTTTGCATAATTTGCTTATCCAGCTACATATGTCATAGGTTTAGCTGCATATTTTTCAAATCAAGTTGTGGCCTACTGTGCTAATCCATGTATCTGTTTAATAATTGAGATACATGGTGTACTATCTGTATTAAACAGACTTTATTAATGAAGATGCACTGTTTGTTCATCTAGTTTATTTTACAGCCTCAGCTGCACACTCAGCCACTGAATTTTTATCTCCTTTGCTGATGAAGGCACAGTTCATATTTCAATGACTTAATTTTCATATACAGGGTAGCACTATATATATGAAGAAGAATATAGCAAATGCTGGTTCTGTTTGTTTAAAGAGTGGCCTACTCTGTATTTCTTTACATTTCTGCCCATCCCTAACTGACACTGCCAGGATTTAGACAAAAATTTGTGTCTGACCACAGGATTATTAATTCTAAGAGTAGTTTCACTCAAATTACCAGGAAGCTGATGTTTAGTGACTAGTTCAACAAGTGGAGATGATCTCGCTCTGAGCAATGGAGATTACACTCGCCTTCTAGAGGATGATTAATTTAATTCCAGTAAGCAATATATTCTACATACCAGTCTTACTTTTCTCCTAAAATTCGGTGTGTGACACAGCTTTGAAAAAAAGATAAATTTGGGAAAAAGAAGCAACAAAACTCAAGCTTGAGTTTTAGCATAATTCAATTGCTTAAGATGCAATGGACTGAAATGCCAAAAAGAAAGGTTAGTCTAAAATCTCTTCCCAACTACTGGAATATTGAATGGCACAGAAATCCAATTCTGCTGGAAATACCAGAGAGCCATGAGCATTCCCAGGTGCTCACTCAGGGCTCACCTGCCCAGGTTAGAAGGGCACAACCTCACATGTGTGCAAGCGCAGGTGCACGGTGAGCTGGCTGGAGCTGTGGGGGCAGATCTGGCACTTGAAGGGGCACTCATTGGGAACTCAGATAATCCCTTTTGAGGATCTGAACACCTATACATGACTTAAAATCATCTCTGTGACCCTCCAACCCTTAGAGCTGTGGATGTGAGGACAACCCCACCTGTGTGCGAGCACAGGTGCACGGTGAGCTGGCTGGAGCTGTGGCTGGCTTAGGAGCAGATCTGGCACTTGAAGGGGCACTCATTGGGAACTCAGATAATCCCTTTTGAGGATCTGAACACCTATACATGACTTAAAAATATCTCCATGACCTTCCAACCCTTAGAGCCATGGCTGTGAGTAAAGCCCCACCTGTGTGCGAGCGCAGGTGCACGGTGAGCTGGCTGGAGTTGCAGCTGGCGTAGGGGCAGATCTGGCACTTGAAGGGGCATTCAATGGCAACTCAAATAATCCCTTTTGGGGACCTGAACACCTATACACGACTTAAAATCATCTCTGTGACCCTCCAAGCTTTCCAGCCATGGCTGTGAGTAAAGCCCCACCTGTGTGCGAGCGCAGGTGCACGGTGAGCTGGCTGGAGTTGCGGCTGGCGTAGGGGCAGATCTGGCACTTGAAGGGGCGCTCGTTGGAGTGGATGCGCTGGTGCTTGTTGAGGCTGCTGCTGTCGGCCGCCGCGTACTCGCAGTGCTTGCACTTGTAGGGCTTCACGCCCGTGTGCGAGCGCATGTGCATCTTCAGCTTGTCCTTGCGGCTGAAGCACTTGCTGCACACCTCGCACTTGTGGGGCTTGTCTCCTGCAAGAGCAGCACTCACACTCAGCCCTGGGCACGGGGAGGGCGTGTGGTCAAGCAGAAAGCACAGACTGACCAGGAAAGGGACTCGTTTGTAGGAGCTGCAGGCGTAGCTGTGACAAACAGCAGGGCCTTTGCAGCCTTCTCACTTTGCGACTCTGAAATTGGGAGCTAAAATCATGGAACTGCTTTAATGTAAAGAGCAAAGCAGGTGAGTGCATTCCCACCACACTGCACCCTGATAAACTCATGGTTTGTGCTCAGGAGTTAAACTGCGCCTCAAATCAACCTCCAGTGTTCTCGGCTGTGCCTGACAGGGCATGGCCCCAACAGGCAGTTCCTCAGGCACAGGCCAGGACAATGCTAGAAAGTACAGACATGTCTACATCCTGTTTATAGAGACATTACTTCATAGGAAAATGGCTTTTGTGAAAAAGCTGAAAGGAGGAAACCAACCCAAAAGCAAATATAGGAACACAGACCTGTGTGCGTTCGCCGATGACGTTCCAGATCCTTCATACCATAGGAAGTCTTGAACTGGCACCCTGAAAATAGGAGGATAAAGATCACTAAATTCAAGGAAAATCTAGCAAAATAATAAAAGTACATTACCATATTCTGGACATGTTTATGTTCAACAGCACTTTATTTAAAATTCACTGTTAACAGAATGTTAATGCCTCATCTTGTTTACTCACATCTGCTTAAAACAGTGACCAGCTCACCTGTGAACCTGAGTTTTCTAATGCTTCCCCTTAGAGGCAACTCACCCCAGAACTGCTGCAGGTATCGAACCTCCTGTGTGCCACTAGAGGAAAGCTCTCCACACTCAAATGGGTGCAATCCCCATCTCACCTGGGTACAGGCAGCTGAGTTTCTTCAGGGGCAGTGAGGAGGAGGAGGATTTCTTGGGCCTTGCCTTTGGTGGTGTAGAGACGACAGCAGCAGCTGGAGGCTCCGTGCTCTCGCTGGGCAGGTAGGTTTGGTAGCCATGCTCAAAAACAAACTCTGGGGCAGAAACTAAACACACAAAAAACTTCATGTGAGAGCATTAACTTCTCTAATCAGATAAAAAAAAATCTAATTATCGTCTAGTTTCATGAATTCTCTATTCTGTTTCTTTTTCCAGCAACATTCCTGTTCCTGGGTTGCTCTTTACCTGGGGGAGGAGGAAAGGAAAAAGGTTTTTCTCTTCCAAATACCAAATAAAGATATATTTGTTTTTCAACTCTGTCTGTGTTACAGCCCAAATGAGCAAAAAAAATCATTATTTATATGGCAAATGTTGTCAAAAGGCATCACACAAATTATTTTTGTAATTGTTAAAAAAGTTCAGCCTCTTTCAACTCTACTGTTTTTAGCTGTTACTCACAAGAATAACAGGTGAAAATATCTCAGCCAAAGTAACAGCTTTTAAATCAATTAACCAACACTATAGCCCAAAAGGGCAAATGGATAGAACTGTCCTCATTTTAAAGATGAGTAAATATGAAGCAGAAAAATGACTCACCCAAAACCCACACTGAGTTGAGGGATTATAATACAAAAATTCCTGGAAGTGGGCCCTGAATTCAGTTTGTTTCACTGCTCTTCCAGATTCCCTGCCTTAACCTGTCTATCCAAATTAGAGTCAAATAATTTGGGGTTTAGCAAGGTCCCACACCAAAATAAAACAAAACTATATATAGAAGGGCAAACCTTCACACACGGAACAAGATCCTAATTTTATTTAAATGTCTCCAGGATCAGGACCTCACTTGAGTCTTCACATAGGCAGAAATTTTGAGTAATATTTTTCCTGCCAATTAGTTGAGGGAGCAATGTTAGGGAATGCAGTGTTCTCACATAAAAAGGTCTGGATGGGTTCCTGACAGCAATTCTGTGTGTGTTTTCCATCTAGAGCACTCTTAAAAAAACATAAAATGCATAGTAATTTCAGTATTTTTCATAAGTATCGACAATTCTAATTAATTTGCACAAGCTGGTTCCACAACACAATAGACTTGAGCAATTCTCTGAGAGAACTTGTACCTCAATTAACAAATTAAGCAACTATTGTCAGAAGAAACCCAAGAAAGCAGCACAGCACTATTTCATTTCCTTAGTTACATGACAACTGATGTGAAAACTGTTATTTCAGCTGGGTGATGGGGACACAGGGACAGAGGGCTGGCACCTGGCAGGTAACATGGAGGTGCCTGCGATGGTTTGGGTGCCTGTGAAGGTTTGTGCCCCTGTGATGGTTTGGGTGGCTGTGAAGGTTTGGGGGTACCTTTGAAGGTCTGGGGGTACCTGTGAAGTTTTGGGGGTGCCTCTGAAGGTCTGGGGGTACCTGTGAAGGTCTGGGTATCTGTGACAGTTTGGGGGGCACCTGTGGAGGGCTGGGTACCTGTGACGGTTTGGGGGTACCTGTGACAGTTTGTGAAGCTCTGGGTACCTGTGATGGTTTGTGTCTCGGAGGCGATGGTCCTGCTCGTGCTCTGAGCCTGTGTGCTCGGCACGGTCTCCTCGGATACGAACTGGACGGTGCTGGTGGCGCCGGCCGTGGCACTGGTGAGCTGGCAGCCGCTCTGCTTGTGCCCCACGAAGGCGTCCAGGTTGTTGAACTGCTGCTTGCAGATGCCGCAGATGTGGATGTCGGGCGTCAGCTCCACCAGCACCGTGGTGCTGCCGGGGACTGCGGGGACACGGCGCGGTCAGCTCGGCCCGGGGGCGGTGATGGGCGACACCGCTCCGGGTGGCACAGGGACATGCGGCTGCCCGAGACCCCCGAGCTGCGGGGCACCGGGGCTCCGGATCCTGCGGGGCACTGCCAGGGGCTGCGGCACCGCTGCACGGAGCCCTCCGGGGACACACGGACAGCGCCCAGGGAGCGGGGACAATCCCCTGGGACACACGGACAGCACCACCCAGTGAGCACGGATCAGTGCCCGGGACACACGGACAGCACCCAGTGAGCACGGATCACAAGGACAGCACCCAGTGACCGCGGATCAGTGCCCGGGACACACGGACAGCACCCAGTGAGCACGGATCAGTGCCCGGGACACACGGACAGCACCCAGTGAGCGCGGATCAGTGCCCGGGACACACGGACAGCACCCAGTGAGCACGGATCACAAGGACAGCACCCAGTGACCGCGGATCAGTGCCCGGGACACACGGACAGCACCACCCAGTGACCGCGGATCAGTGCCCGGGACACACGGACAGCACCACGCAGTGCCCATGGAGCGTGGACAATCCACGTGGGCAATCCCCAGGATCCACGGACCACTGCCCATGGAGCATCCATCCCCGAGATCCATGGACCACTGCTCAAGACCCATGGACCCCCGCTCCCGCCCCGCTGCCCCCCGCTCCCGCCCGCCCGGCGCTCACGCAGATTCCCGGGTTCCCCCCGCGCCCCCCAGCCATGTTCCCGGGCTCCGCTCCCGCCCGTTTCATGCGCTACTCAGGTTTCGGGGCCCGGGCAGGCCCCGGCTCCCCCGCGCTGGCGCGGCGCGGGCCCCGGAGCGCGCATGGCGCAGCACTTACACTGCACGGGGCCGGGGAAGGCGGGCGCCGCCCCCGCCCCGCCGCGGTTCATGGCGGCCCCGCCGCCGCCTCCTGCGCGGGCCGAGCCCGCCGGCACCGGCACCGCTCGCACAGCTCGGCCGCCCGGCGCCGGCGGATGTGCGGGAGCCGAGCATGCTCAGTGGCGGCCGCAAGGCTGCGGCGGTGCCGGCCGTCAGCGGCCCGGGCAGGCAGGGCCGGGAGGCAGCGGAGCGGCGGCGGTGAGCCCCGAGCCGTGCCCCGTCTGCAGCCTTCACCCAGAGCCGTGCCCGCACCTCCAGCCTTCACCCAGAGCCGTGCCCGCACCTCCAGCCTGAACCCAGAGCCGTGCCCGGCACCAGCCTGAACTCCAGAGCCGGGCTCGGTCCTCAGCCTGAACCCAGAGCCGTGCCCAAACCCCAGAGCCGTGCCCGGCCCCAGCCTTCAGCCCCGGTGTGCTGGTGCATTATTTGCTGTGTTATTAATTGGACACTACCGAGGGGATGCGTTAAATTAACGTGCACAGGATTCAGATGAGCTGAGCCGCTGTGGCACGGCAAAGCGGAATCCCTGCACCCTTTCCATCTCTCCTCCTGCCCGTCCTGCAGAAAGGCTCGCCCAGGAGCAAACTGCACTGCTCAGTCCCTGTGCTGTGCTTCCCACCGCGGGAATTTCCCAGCACGCTGCAAATGTGGGAATTCTCAGCCTCTTTTCCTTCAGGGAGAACATGAGGTGGGGCCGAGTTAATGCTGTTCATAGGGATTGCTGAATTTGGTTATGGCTGTGCTGGGAAAGGTTTTTCAGGTCGTGGCCGCTCCACGTGGTTAAAAGCAGAAGGGAAGAGGCACAAGCAGCAGAAGCAGCAGAAGCTGGGCAGGCGCCTGAGGGCCAAGGCCTTTGGTGTCCCAAGGGAATTGTGACTGTCAGATCCCTCTCTCTGAGCTCTGTTTTACAGATATGGTCAGAAGAGGAAAAACCAGTCACTGGCACTGACTTCAACACAACACAGAGCTTGAAATATTGAAGAAATTGCTGCAGAGAACAGCAGCTTTCAGACCCACAGCTGCCCCCGACATATGGCCTGGCCAAATTGAATTATGGAAGGATCGGGATAAAAAGTTGTGCCAGGGGAGGCTCAGGGTGGACATCAGGAGGAATTTGTTGCTGGAAAGGGTGGTCAGGCTTTGGTGGGGGCTGCCCAGGGAGGTTTGGAGTGCCCATCCCTGGAGGTGTCCAGGGAATTCCTGGAGGTGGCACTCAGAGCTCTGGGCTGGGGACAGAATGGGCACTGGGCACAGTTTGGAGGTCATTTCCAGCCTCAGTGATGATGGGATTCTGGCTTTGGCACAAACACTGCAAACACCATTATTATCTCATTAATAACTAATAACTCTCCCAGCCCAGGACTTTCTGGATGCTCTGCAGGAGTTCTCCTTTGCCTGGCTGAGGATTGATGTCTGAGAGTGTAACACTGCACTGAGCGCTTGAGTCATGGAGCAGAGCTGTGCTGAGATCACACTTGACACGATTTGCAGCCTCTGAGGCATAAATCAGTGTGCATGTGTAATGTTCCTCACCCTTAACCCTGCTGACATGAAAATACTGCACTGCTCTGGGCTCCCCACGAGTGCAGTGCAAGCAAACAAGGCCCAGAAACGACAAATGTCAATCATGAGGGACAAGGGAGAAGGAAATCAGAGGCATAAAAAAGTCAGAGCTCGTCAGAGCCTCCGAGACAGGCCTTCCCTCACAGTTTGGACAGCTGTGGCCTCAGTGCTCTCCTGGAGACAGGACAACAAGAAATGGGTGGGTTTTGCCTTTGTGCAGAGCTTCCATCCATCTCCTGTCACCCCAGACCACACAGGAGCAGCAGATCCCTCCCTGAGCTCAGGGAAAACGCAGCCCGGACCTGTGCAGGTGCTGGGAAGAGAGGAACCTGTTCAGGCAGCCAGGAGAACAAACCCCGATCCTTGAAATACGACACCATTCATTGTTCCCTCTGCCTTTCACATGGAGGGGGGTGTTTGGAAGAGAAAAATGCGTTAACCAGCAGTATAAATGAATAAATGATCAGGTTATACCAATAAGATGCAAAAAAATCTCAAAACCCATCCCCATGCTAGGGAAAGAACAGAAACTTGGTTGCAAACCTGAGGTCACTGAAGAGGGAGAGGTCTCTCCTGAAGGCCCGGGTGCAAGATCATCCCAAGTGTGCTTGGAAACGTGGCCTAGGGGACAGACAACAAAATGAAATGTCAACTGTAATTAAAACTTAAAGGTATTGAAGGTGGAGACAAACAAATGACAGATTTGGAGGAAAAAACTTAAAAGATTCAACCCCCAATTTTTAGCATTTTGATGGATAATGACACACACAGCAACATAAATGCTCTGACTCAAATTAATTATGTTAAAATAATAGGTAATTTGTCTCTGTGTTGAGAATATATAATTATGATGATTTTTTCCAAATGTTTTAAAATAATGTCATTTCAATTCATAATGCAGGGTAGGGATTTTGCTGCTCAGTGTATTTGCTGTTTATACAATATTTTCAATGTCATTGCTTTCCTGTACAATAAATAAAGCCAAAACAATCAGTTAGTACCCTAAGATATTCCTTACTGCTGTAGGAACTGTAAAATAACTCAATATGAAAATGTTATTCACTGCAATGGCACATTGACAACTGTGATTAAGTCTCAAACGAATACTGGAACAAAGTAGAAATGTATTTTTTGTTGAGTTGTTTAATTCTTCACTGTCAGGACTCAGGCCCAAATTCACCCAGGGGGAATGTCAGGCGTTTATGGGGTTAAATGTGTCTCAGTGCCTTCCCCCCCATGGAAAATTGGGATAGAAGAGTAAGGGATATCATTTCAGGGCAGAATTCAGCTTCCTGCATCTCTTATCTCTTGGCATTTCTTTCTCAAATAATTTTTTTTTTCCTAAATGCAAATTGGCTGCTCTCATATGAGCAAAGTTTGAAAACAAACTCACATGATGATGATGATGGTGGTGGTGATGATGAATATGTCACACCTGCAAATGAACTCCTTAATTTATGGAATATATTTCAGCACTTTTTGTATAAATATAAAAGCACAGTATAACTCCACTGGGATGAACATGATAACAAATAAATGCTGAATCTAAGGCTGTACAGCTCCAGTCTCACATTTAGTCATTTTTATGATTATATTTGGGTTAAAAATGGAAAGCAACACCAGCAGAGGGACTCCCTTGATACTCCGTGGAGCTCTGCCTGCTCCCTGGCAGGGCATAGAGGTAATTTTATTCTGGAAGCTTTTGAATGCTTTACAAGTAATAGGAACCAAGTGGGAAAAGCATATTCCATATTTTAGTTCTGACATCCTCATAGAATAGAATATAGAAAAAAAAAATTAAAGATTCAAAATAGTTGCCTGTGATTCAGTACCTAAAGGCTTGGTGGTGTTTTTCAGAATTCCCTTGGGATGTGTAAATGCTTCGGAGCTGGGAGTACCCAGGGGAGCTGGAGTCACTTTTGCCACTTCATCAAACTAACGAGCCTTTGAGTGATGCTGTTCCCAGGTTCGGCTCTACTGGGGGGGAAAGCAGAAAACCAAACTGAAATTTAGACAGAATGGAATTCCTAAGAGCTGGGACAACCAGGATTTATTAATCCATGCACTCCCAAGCTTACAAAAAATAATCTTCTGCCTTCGGTTTTGCTCTATAAATCTTGCCCTGTTTCATGAGGTCTGTGCTTCCAGAAGGCTGCAGAGCTCTGGGACAAGCAGTGCCTGTCAATGAGGCACAGAAACCCTTTTGGGGTCAGGGATGGGCTGTTTCACTGGCAGGGACAGCAGCACTTCTCATTTCCAGCCCTCTCCAGCTTCTAACTGACAGCATTCCCTCACTGAATGAGCTGCTGCTAGATGAACAAGAGAATTCCGTTTGTACTCCCTAATTATCCATCAGTTATTAATTACCACCTCCCCCAGCACTGGAGCTACAGGGAGGAAAGTCCTGGTCTGAGTTTAGTGGGATTGTCCAGGTGAGCAGGAGATGAATCTCTATTTGTGCTACTCTAGATGACATTAGATAATGTTAAAATGATGAACAAACTATAGGAGACACTTCCTTGTGTGCAGATTTTAATTTACTCAGATATGGCACAGAGAACTAGTGTGGTGACTGCACATAATCAGAAATTAATTTGAGCTTTGCTGTTGTACAGAGCATGCTGGGATATTCCAGCTAAAAAAATCTGATTTACTGGTCCTTAGTTAGCAGGTATTTAGCTTAGTCAGTCCTGGTGTGAAGAAGAAATAATAATAATAATAACAATAATAATAACAATAATAATAACAATAATAATAATAATAATAATAATAATAATAATAATAATAATAATAATAATAATAATAATAATAATAATTTTGGTTTAGTATCACAACTCAATGGCTGCTATTCATGAACTCTGTATCACCCACTACAAAAAAAAAAAAAAAAGAATAATCCTTCTGGAAAAAAGGCTTCTGCTTTGTGTTCTCGTGTCACAAGATATTGGTACTTGACTTTTTCAGGCACTAAAAAGATCATGAAAAGGGTAACAAAGATGAGAGGGTTTGCTATTAGAATAATGTCTGCACGCAGAAATGACAGCCAGGGAAATACTATCTGAACTTCAACTGCTGCTCATTGTCATTTTACAATTAAATCTTTATCAGGCTAATATTCCCCGTGGTCAGATGTGTTTGCTTTCCAGGAATCCTGTAAAAATTCATTCATCTGTGAATTTCAGAGAACATAGCAGGGTATTCATGGAGAGCAGATTTTAAATGTGCATTGAAAACTTCACCATCAAATCTATTCGGTCAAGAGGCAGAAACAGAAGAGCATATCCATGAAGAAGGCAGAATATCAAATAAATAAAAGATATTTTCTCTTAAAACACTTCAAAATAAAATGTATCTCCACAAGCTATTTTTCTGTAGTGGAAAAAAATATCTTTTTATAATAATAATCTTGGAAATCGGTCAAAATGCAGCATCTATTGGATACAGAAAA